TTTAGGTGTGATCAACATTCTTAATCTAAGTTTGACTACGTTTTCTTCCAGAAAAACTGTTAGCTTATGGAAAACTACAAAACAACTAGAAGGTGATAATAAAAGGTGCATTATATTGAATAAATCTGCTAAACAAAGCCTCTTGAGTGTTGAAAGCAATGATGTTACTTGGAGGACTAGGTTCACCTGACCCAAACCATTGTATTACCACTTACCTCATATGCATATAGAAGTTGGACATTGAATAAGGAAGAATTAAGAAGAATCAATGTATTTGAAGTGTAGTGCTGCCCAAGAATATTGAAATACCATGGACTTTCAAAAGGACAAACAAATCTGTCTTGGAAGAAGTAAGGGCAGAGTGCTAGTTAGAGGTAAGGAGGTGAGAGTTCACATGGCATGCTTTGGACATGTTGTCAGAAGTGGCCAGTCCTTGGAGAAGGACACTTCATTTTGTAGAGCGGCAGTGAAAAATAGGAATCCCTCAACTCAATGGATCGACACAGTGACTGTAACAATATGTTCATCCTAAATTGTGAGGATGGCGCAGTGCTGGCAGTGTTTCATTCTCTGGGACACTGGGTCCCTGTGAGATGGAGTGGACTCAATGAGAGCTGACAACAGCCTCAGAAACTATGCAATACCCAAGACAGGCACAAAATGCTAGTTTGTTGGTTATGTTTACAAAAGTCATTTCTATGGCATCAAATGCCAAAAACCTCAAGAGAGGTTCGCTGGAACTTAAAATCCCTTGTTATAGAAGGAATGGGTTTCTTTTGTTAAAAACAAAAACAAACCGTGATGCAAAAATCACTCGGGAATTGCTGCCCCTCATTGATTTATACCATTCTTCTGGAGGTGAGCTGAAGGAAAAATTCTCTAAGATCCACACAGTATGTCATATGGAAGAGTATTTTCCCAAACTGGGGATCTATGTGAGGGCATCACACAATGACTTCTGTGTGAGTGACTATTTATCTGGCAAGGGAAGTGTAAATCATATAGTCCTCTAAACTGAGGGGTCAGCCAGAAGATCAGAGGATCCAGCTGGAGCAAGGGCATCAATGGTAGTTTAGTGAGTTTTAGGTTGCTTAGAAGTTCTATAATCAATTGCATCAAAATACAATTGTAGGAGAAACTTTCAGCATAACTGGACCATCGATTAAAGCTTAATACCAGAGTATTGAAAAGGTATTAAAATATCACTTTACTGTTTTGTAATTTAAGTTCAAGTTATGGAGTGTAAACATAATAATGGTTGTGAGAGAGCACTTACTAATATTTCTATCAGACCAGTAAGTACTATGACAGCAATGTCAGATAATGACAAGTCAAGAAAACTGTAGACCAATACTGATAATGGATCCACAATAAAAAGTTCTTTAAAATGTTTTCATGAGATTCAGACAACATATTAAAGTGATTATATGCCATGATTAATTGAATTAATGTCCCAGAGCAGATTTAACATAAGAAAATAAGCAAAAAAAAGAAAAAAAAAAAAAAAGAAAATAAGCACTGCAATCTACCCATTGCTGGAAAAAAGAATCAATTATCTAAGTAGGCACAGAAAACAAACTAGGCCCTTAAAAAAAAGAAAGTCAAGTCATTGGGCCTCCACTCAAGTCCTCCCGCAACGCAAGAACCCTTTGTTCTAATAACCTGGCATTCTGTGATGCTCACCTTCCTGACTTGATTGCTGAAGTCAAAATGGTTGCAGAAGCCAATGTGGTGAAGAAAGCTGATGGTGCCCGGCTTTTAGAAGATATAGCATCTGGGTTGTTAAAGGTTTGAAATTAAAAAGCAGCCGTCTAGCAGGGAAGCAACAAGCCCCACATGGAAGAAGCACACCAGCCTTGGTGATCACGAGATGTCAATGGGATCAGGTGTCAGGCATCAGAAGACCCAAAACAAACAAGCATATCAATGCAAACGAGGGGGGTTCAGATTGGAGACCCAAAGCCCATCTATAGACAGTTGGACATCTCCTCACAGAAGGGTCACAAGGAAGGGATGAACCAGTCAAGGTGCAGTAAAGCACCAAGGAAACACACAACATTCCTCTAGTTCTTTAATGCTCCCGCCCCCCATCATGACCGCAGTTCTACCTTACAAATCTGGCTAGACCAGAGCATGTACACTGGTACAGATAAGAGCTCTCAACATGCCACAAATAATCCAGGAGGGACAAACCCTCCGTAACAATAGTAGGAGCCGGTGATACCATGAGGGTAGGGGAAGGGGTGGGCAGAGAAAGGGCGAAAAAGGGAACTGACTACAATAATCATCATAAAATCGCCGCCCCTGTGGGGGGTGGGGTGGTGGTGAGCAACAGAAAGGTGGGTAAAGGGACACGGGACAGTATAAGATATGAAAATAGTAATTTATAATTTATCAAGGTGTCATGAGGATGGGAGGGTGGGACAGGGAGGGGGAAAAAAGAGGAAGGGCTCAAGTAGAAAGAAAATATTTGATGGCAACATGTTCAAATGTGCTTGATACAATTGATGCTTGGATTGTTATAAGAGCTGTAAAAGCACCTAATAAAATGTTGTGTATTACACATCATTTGAGCTTGGAGCTGTTGGATCCTGTCATCTGGCTGACTGTTGGTGACCCTGCTTTTTGCTGCCTGTATTTCTCTATAAAAGACTCAGCTGTCTTCTCCTTTGACTTTGGACCCAGCAGCCCTCAGGAGTTGGACTTCCAGTCTATTAACTGTTCCACGGAAGGGAGTTGAACTGAGCCCTCTGTACTGCTGTGTGGACTAATTAGCTGTGTATATATATGCATATACAGCTAATATATATATATATATATATATGATATATATAAAGTATATATATAAAATCAGTGTCCTGGTTTTGTTTCTCTAGAGAACCCTGCCTAACACAGATTGTAATTGCATAAATCATGTTAAAGGTGATTTAACCATGGGAAAGGGGGAATGATCTAAAATCGATGTGGGGATGATTGTACAATTCCCTGTGATAGGATTGAACTATTGCATCATATGATATGTAAATTACTTGCCAATAAAACTGTGTGGGGACAAAGCACCTAATAAAATTATATATATGTATATATATATATATATTCAAAGGCTTTTCATGTTAAAAAGTCTTATATGAAACCAAGTATAGTTCAATATGCTAATATACAGTCATAAAAAAACATAACCAGCAAACATCATTCATTCTTAAAGGGGAAAAAAAAATCTCACCCCACATCAGAAACAGGACAAACATATGTATTTCCATTTTCAATACTGATATTAAAAATTCTAATGTATTTTTAGGTCGACTAATCAGAAAAGGAAATTTTTTTAAAAAGAAAAGAGGCTTCCAGAGAGAAAAACAAAAATTCCTCTAATCATGATAAATTAATGATCTTTTACATAAAAGATTCTGAATATGTCATAAATACTATAGCCAATAAATATTTACAAGGTTTTAGGCTACATTTCAACACACAAAAATACGTTTTGGTACTTAACTCTCTAACCACAAACTGCTAATCTCCAATTCTAAAACCATTAACCCTTACCCCTTAACATGCTGAGCATCCTTATAACACACTAATAACCTCCTAAAACACTGACCACCTAGGTACTCGGAGAAGCCCCTTACCGTCCAGAACTTCTACTAACACCCTGAGCATCCCCTGATGCCCACAACACACTCTTAACTTTGTGACCCTAAATCTCAAGTTCAGAAACTAAACCCCCAAAATCAAATCTTTAAACCATAACTCTACATCATAATATCTTAACCCACAACCCCCTAATCAACTCCAAACATAATCTGTTAGGAACTAAACATAAAGCCCTTTAATAAGTCCACTAACATCTGACTCTTAATCCATGACACTTAATTCTTATTTCTATCCCTTGGCTCTTGTTTTTAAACCTGGAACACTGATTAAACCCAGTACTTAGATTCTCATCCTAAGTACAGACTCTGATTCTAGCACACTACAGCCTAAACAGAACCCCAAACCTAATCCATCAAGAAACTCATGTTGCTAATTATGTGTGTGGAGTTGTCTTCTCACTCAGATTTTACATAAAGGGACTTGGGTAGGTTGGCAGGCAAAACCAGGAATCACAAACACATTTTCAGTTAATTTTAATCTTTTGCATCTGGTTCATGGAACTTGGGAAAAGAAAGTGCTATACATATGTTTAACTATGACAAACATCATGGCCATGGGCTATCGCAGCTACCTTGTGGATCTGTGATCTACTGTGTCCTGGCCTCAAGGAGTCTTTTCTGCTGTTACACATATGCAGGGATGTGTTACCCAGTAAGCAAGACGCCTGAGGGCTCGATTGTACTTATTCACTAATTTGTAGATCACTATTTAACCTGGTTTTTCCCTCGAGGACAGGGTGAAGCCCATGTTAAATAAAACTTGCTCAATAGAAATGTTATTCTGTCACTGACCCCCTTGTTCCCCTCATTCCCAGGGGACACTCATATTGCCAGTGCTGGAGGAGGGAGCACACTAAAGGTGCTTACATCGGACCCCTTGTCTCCACTTCTCAAAATTAAAATTGGCCTTTTTCTCAGACTTAGGCAAAAGACTGAGAGGAAGAATTTTCACACCCCGTCTGACAGCAAGAGCCGGTAACCCAAAAAGATTTGGGTCCATGTCTCTTGGAGATTCCCGTGAGCTAGCACCGTAAGCTCATAAGACACACTGCAAGTAGGAGCCGTGTCTTCACCCCCATGCTGGAAAGGTGTCAATCCCAGGGACACTCTGTGTTTCCATGGCCAGGAACTCCCTCTCAGAGCACACTGGGGCTCTCCACTCATGGAGAAGTAACTCCTCAAAGAGTTCCTCATGATAACAACAGCAGGCCGATCCCTGTCATCTACAAACCAGGGGCTTCCAGAGGCGAAAGGCAGCGTTCCTCTCTGAGCCTGTCTTACAGATCTACTGGATGGGAGTGCCTGTCCTAAGATACACCCTCCCGTCCAGGTTCCAGTGTCTCTTACCTTTAGGAAGCACAAAACATCCAAGCAAGGATGATCCTCTCTCTTTCCACACAACACAGCCTGATCTGAGCTCCACATCCGCTCCAATTTCAGGACCTTGAATTATCTGCCTCCAGGCTCACCTGGGTCCTGAGCAGGAGCTGGTAAGTAAACGAGGGAAGGCTAGAGACAGATTAAATGGTAGTCACCTGTAATTAATTCAGCATGATTAGTAATTCAACACAATTTTACCTTGTTTATTGGAATACCTATGCTTGGGTTATTCCAGATGAAGTTAGAGTGGATCCCAGGAGGATTGGGGTAGGCTGCAGGCAGCCCTAAGAATACGTTTGATCACACATACACACATGCAAACAGTCAAAGTGGTAGCAAATGAGAACTTGGATTAAGCAGAGAGAATAGGAGAGCCCAGTGAAAGAGATAATGGATACTATTTAACATCAAATAAGTGTACAAATATGTGTATAAACATGACTCTGGAGCAGCCTCTGGGGGACTTGGGGCAGCCTCGGAGGTCCCTGAAACTCTCTTGTGCGGCCTCTGCATTCACCTTCAAGTGCCAGACTCCAGGACAAGGCTTTCAGTGGATTGCCCAATTTAACCTGATGGTGGTGCTGAGAAGTATCAGACTCCATGAATTGCTGACTGCCCATCGACAATGGGTGACAAGGATGAGCTGTATCTGTAAATGGATAACTTGAACATGGGACATGTCTAGCTACTACTGCATGGACACAGTAAGGGAAGTCAGTGTGAACCCAGGAACAAACCTCACCTTCAGGCTGGGCTACAGGGGTGTCAGGATCAAGTGAGCACAAGAACCAGGCTCTGAGGCAGGTGCAGAGGGATGGTTGTGGTGGGTTTCCTGGTGTGGTCTGGGAATCATTCATTTCGTAGCTGTCCCCAGAGAACATCTCTATGTGTACTATGTGTTCCAATGCCCTGAAATCTATGAACTCAATTCTCCAGCTTCCTTAGAAGTTACAATAATCCGTGTGTGAACTATTTGCCTTCACATGTCTTCCCTTCATTCAGAGCCAATTTTCATTTCAGAGAAAGTATAGAGATGCAAGACCAAAAAGGAACGTGTTAACTGCAGGTCTGATGGGAGTGATCTCACTTCTGTCAGCTACAAACCCTAGCAAATCAGCTGCCTCCAGGGAAATACTGAACTTGTCTTGTATAGGCTGCCACTGAGAGAATCGACCTTGTATAATGTTACCAATCTTTCATATAGGGAAGAATCCTCTACCCACACCCACCCCCACCCCCGCCTGCTTTTCAGCGATCTAGGCCACTTTCAGAAGGCTACCTGGATTTTGGAATTCAGGATTTTTGTTTGGTTTAGGTTAGGTTTTGGTTTTCTTCAAAGGTCCCATCAAAGACACTCACTTTGAGAACCTCACTGTGGGAACTGGGCTTTGCTTTTAACACACGTGATGCAGATGAAAGGCCCCTGAACCGCTCCTGTGGCTCTCAAGTGGGAGCACCACGTACAGCCCCTGGAAGCAGAGGGCGGCGGTCCCCAGGTCCTGGACTTAGGAGTCCCTGGACAGTGGCTCACATCGCTTCTGCTCGGAGGGTACACAGTGATTGACAAGTAGACGCTGCCTTGATTTTGCCAGGCTCATGGTGCCTTTGCTGCCGGGGGAGGGTGTCTTAGTTCAGCAGACAGATGATTTCGACCTTTTCTTTGTGGCAAGCCCTTACTGCTTTCTTCATCAGTGTTCTACCAATTAAGGTTTGAATCCTTGCAAGCGACCTTTCATGTACTTTAGTCTAAAAGGCTTTACAAGAATTCAGGTTATCGAACCACTGGCCACATTGCTATTGTTCTTCCAAATACCAAATGTCCCATAGACGTTAGTTTACATTATTTGTCAAGCTGATAATTAGCCTCTAAAGTAGACCATAAAAATATGTATACCTTATACACAGGCATGTACCTTGAACTTACACGTGGTCAAAGCCCTAACCTTTAAACTACTTGTTCTTGTCATGTGACCCTGCTCAATAATCATTCCCTTGTGTGTAGATCACTGCAATGTACATGAATGCAAATGTGTGGTCAATAGATTCGAGGGCAGCCCAGCCAGTTATCAGAAAGAATAGTGTCTAGGGTCTTAAAGGCTTGTCCAAGGACCAATATTCCTCTAAGTGACTTACCTGCCAAGTCCACAGGGAAGAAGCACATCAGCAGAGCAGTCAGATAATTATTACTAGTATAATCTATAATCAGTGGAAGAATTGAATTGAGCTCAAGTGCTCAGTCTTTACAGATTACGACAGTGAGGGACAAGATCCATTGCAAAATGATCACATATTTTGAGTTCCTACTGGGTTCCTTCTGATCATCAATCACGAATTTTCCATCCTAAACTGATCTCAACGATATGAGTGAATAAAGATGAACAGTGGGTAATAAGAGAGAGGGAGCTTGAAGAGTCAAATCCCATTATTTTATGATGGAAATATAATTAATTTATGATAATTATGTATTTTGTTTCTATATAACATAGCTGGAAATCCTCCATACCTTTTACCCTGAGCTAAACCCCTCTATCTGGTCTCACAGGGTATCCTGTGATAGTGTCCAGGCAGGAATTCTGGCTGGTACTAGCTAAGCCAATAACCTGATTTGTATCTGAGTGTTTTGACTCTCCCAGGCTCCCTTCCTCCCCTCACTAAGAGCCAGGACCTGAATAGCTATCCTGTCTCCTGGAGATATAGTGTCCCTAAGTCATGGAAGCCCTGTAACATAAGATCTTTGTGAACCCAAAACTTTGTTTACCCAGTTTGTCCCTGCTGTTTCACTGTGTGTGTCTGTCTGAAACCCCGATTGCACTCAGCCTGTGTCCGTATCCTGTGAAAGCAATGGGGAATGGACACTCACATTTGGAGGAATGATTTCTCCCCACCATCCATTTCTTTTTTGTGCATGTGAAAATAAAACTCAGAATCTTTTGAATTCACCTGGTTTTTGTAATCTGGCAACAGTGACCATGCTATAATGAGCAATTTGTTCCCACCCCGCAACAAAAGGATTTTGTGGGGTCTTTTAAGGGGTGCCTAAGGATAAGAGGTGGCGTTAGGAAAGTGTTAGGGAATGAAGATTCCCTTATGCGTTCAAAGAACTACACCCTCAGATACACAGGCTATGTTAAGAGCAATGAGAGGATGATGCCAAAGAACGTTTGGCTAGAAATCCTTGGCTTTCCTGTGACCTTTCCCTCACACCTCTTAGCTCAGGTGCTCTCCATTGCACACTAACAGGCAGAGGGGGTTCAAAAGAAGAATTACCCTACAGTGGCCTCAGAAGAAACAGGATAGATTGGCTTTCACCCCTCATTACTTATAAGGATAAGGCCACACACACACACACACACACACACACATAAAAAGTATTCTTTAGGCACCAGGGTAAAACTCCCCCTTGGGCTGGGAAAGCTCGCAGTGCTCTTCCGAGGGCCGAGCCGACTTGTGGTTCACAGGTGCTGTTGTTCGGGGTTCTCTTCTGCCTGGTGACGGCTCCTCCGGGTGAGGGTCACAGATATCACAGCTGGGTCTGTGGGGATGGTCATGACTGCAAGTGACGCAAAGAAGCCAATTCTCTTCCTTTTCGGTGCACCGTCCCAGGTGCAGCTTCAGGAGGAGGCGCCAGGGTTGGTTCAGCTCTCCCAGGAGCCATCCCTCACCTGCGCTGTCTCTGGTTTCTTCAGCACCCGTAGTTACTGCTGATGCTGGATCTGCCAGACCTTTGGGGCTGCATATGCTGTGATGGTCTACAAATGAAAACTCTTCTTCCTTCCAACGTCGACTCGCCACCACCAGAGACGCATCGAAGAATCAGCTCTTCCCGCGGCTGAGCTCCACGACTGCTGAGATCGGTGCCATGAATTTCTGTGCAAGGTAGAGAGAGGAAGTCAGCAGGAGCTCAGACAGCGCCCTGCCCCTTCCCGCAGGGCAGGACCTGGGCTGCAGGGGCTCGCAGGTGGCACAGAGCACAAGCCTCAGCCAGTCCGAGGAGCAGGTGCTGATCGTTTCTGGGCTGGCTTCCTTTTGTGATCTCCAATTTTTGTTCATCTCACAGCTTCGGTAGGGAAGCTCCCTATTCTTCTCTATAGACTTTAATAATGCTGCGCCTTTCTGGTCGCTCTGAGTGCAATCGATGTGATAGGGGAAATGTGACTACCCTACAGCTATAAAAGGAGTGCCACCTGAAGGGCAGGGTTCTGCCCCTGAAGCAGTGCAGCCAATGTAACCTTTCCAAGTCAATGGAAGAAAGAAGCATTTTAGTGGGCGCTAGCCCCGAGAGAAGACCACAGTGCGAAGCACACTGTCTCTGTGGGGCCCGGGTTGAAGTCAAATATTTACCACCTTTGACTTTGGAAATTACATTTTGGGGAGCCACATACAGATATTTTAGGTGAACTCAGATTTCAGGGGAACCACATGAAACAATTGTTGCCTAAGAGCAAACGGAGCACCTGGGGTTCTTCAAGCCTTAGGCCAGTCTTGGCACGTCCGTCCTTGCTTACTAACTAGATAGCGGGACCTAGATTGTCGCCACCAGCAGTCGGGCCAATAAGAGGAGACGCCCCGTATCACCAGGCCCTTGTAGGTGACACCCACATCCAAGCTGCCTCCTTTTAAGGACTGTAGCAAGATATAAACGTCTCAGAGAGAATTCATTAAAGAAGCATCTTTCGTTCTGGGTGCAAGTGTCTCTTACTAGTTCCATGACAGGAATTTCTTCTGTGGCTTTTTGAAAGTTGAAGGGGGTCTTTCCTTGTTAGTCATTATTCGTATGTGTGTCTTTGTACCATTAGGGTTTTATCCTTATCACCTTAGTCCGATTTTGGTTTTCATTGTTTTCGGTTGCGTCTCCCAGGTATGAAGCAGAGGAGTGAATACATAATGATAACAGATATAAGGTGACATACAGAATATTGGGGTGGATGATAGGGACGGAAAGGGGCTTTGGGGAGTAAAGAATGAAGGCTGGAAGGGGGAGGGAGCACTAGAAGGGATTGTGATTGCATAACTCATTTGAGAGGCAATGAAACCACGTCAGGGGGTGGGAGGATGCTCTAGCATTGATGTGGTCATTAAAGGGTGTAGCAGACGCACTACTAAACA